GTCTCTCGCTCTATAATATAAGTATAATCCTTCGCCGCTTCGATAAAAGTATATACTAAACGGTATATTATCTTGTTCCCGACTAAGGCGTAGTCTCCCTCGCTATAATCTGTAACGCTAAGTAGAGGATCGAAGAACCCGAGATACGCTAGATCGAACCGTAGTCGCTAGGGGCGGGCGTAGTGCCCCTAGATATAACTCGCTTTAGAAACTAGCGATTCCGCGACGTAGTCCGGATAATGCTAATAGTATCTACGACGGCGAGCGTATCTATAATAACTAGCATCTAAGGAGCTATTATTATCCGACGAGGATTAATCGGAGTCGTCCGAATCCTCGCTATCCGACGAGGATCTATTCTTACTCGGATTACCCCGATACTAACGGTGTTTCCGGCGTTACTTCCTACCTTCCCGTAGTAGACCCTATAGGTCTAATAGCGGAAAGGGCAAAGACTAATCCTACGCTAGCTCGCGAGAGGGATCGCCTAGATCGAAGTTACTAGCTAGTAGTAGCGGCGGATAGACCGACGAATTGCTAGAAGGGTTACCGGTAGGGTTGCTAGGAGGATTACTAGGCGGATTACTAGGCGGATCGCCTAGCGTAAAGCCGCCCCGATATAAGCGGCTATACCTACGGGCATTTATATATATGTCTACCCTCTACTAGTAATCGTATTAACCTAGATTTAGCTAGGGCGGACTTAGCTTACGCGTAGCCGATAGTAGTAAAATCGCCTATTTTATTAGAAAGTCTAATACGACTTCGTTAAGATAGACTCCTCTCCGTCTAGCTAATTCGCGAAGATAATTATAACGCTAACGGTTTTGTTATATAGCGATATTCGCCCTATCGATCTCCTTAGTTATCTATAAGGCATCTACTAGGGTACGATATTAGAAACGACTACGCGGCTCGTTAGCCTACGGGTCGGCGAGGCCGTCGTTTATTAGAGGCAATTAGCCGCGACCGATGTCCTAGAACGGCGACGTCGACAGATCGGAAGGCCCGGTTAACGGTTCCTTAAGGGAAGTCTTAGATAGAGGCCCTCTTAGCTTCTAAGGATTCTCGTCCGCCGGGTATTGTAGCTTAAGTAGCCTCTATAAGAAAACCGATTTAAGCAAGCTATTAGGCGAACCGGGACGCTATTCCGGCGGTACGGTTATTTCTACTATAGTAATAGGCGAAACCGTAGGCCGCGGTAGAACTTAAGCCGGTCGGGCTAGTAGGCGCTGCTCTACTATAGGTAGTAGATAGATATCCGGGTAGAATTAACAGTAATAGCGTAAATCGTATACTATTAGGAGCGCGGCTTTAAGCTCCTTAACCGATTTAGTTAGAATTCCTTTATCTACTACCTACTACCCTAGGAAGTTATAACCGTTAAGGGCGTCTAGGTAGAGTTCCTCGATCTTAGCCTATAGAGGCGGCGGATTTCCTACGAGCGGGTAATAGTATAGAACGTATAAGGTAAGTAAGTCGATTCGGCCGTACTTTGCCCTAAGCTAGGTCGCAAAGTTCTCGCTATAATCGACGTAGTTCTAAATATAGGAACAGATACGTAGGATATAGGGCTCTATATCTAGCAATCCGAGATTATAGTACTAGGGCAGCAGTTAAACCGCTAGCTTAGCTAATTTCGAGGCTTCTACCGGAGTTAGAAGCGAGTCCGAAGGAGCTACGGCAAGCGGGTAAACTATTAGTAAGAGGGTAGAGGCGAGATAGTCTCTAGATAGAGGATAATAACGGAGAGCCTACTTAAGGCGGAGGAGCGTAGCTTATCGGGGCAGGTCCTCCTAGGGAAAGCGGCTACCCCTAAACCTAGGTATAGTAGGCAATTGCTACTAAAGGCAGAAACTACTACTACTATCTCCTCGGGGTACTAACCGGATCGCCGATAAGGCGCTCGCGCGTCGGTAGGGTACAGTATAGAAGGGTAGTAAATCGAATAGGTACTGTCGTAATAGGTAGGAGTTAAATCGTAGTAATTAGCGGAAGATCGGTAGGACTCGTAGCTAATTACGTCGATTCTCGTCGTAGCCGTAACGACCGGGGTCGATTCGGGTAGAGGACTAGTAGTTAGTATAGAAGCTAACTAAGTATTAAGCGAAGCTACTAAGTTGCTAGGTATATAGTTACAGTACGAAGGTATCGTAACGGTTATACGGTATAAAAGTTAATATATTCTCTAAGGTACCGCGAGGCAAGCTATCTATATAATAGTCCTACTATTAGTAGTAATAGCGACCGTAGCGGTCGATAGTAACCGCTGCCTACTATCGTATATATAATAGTATTATATCGTAACAACTATCTACGCGAGTAGGAGAAGTCTATATAGGATAAGGCTACTAACCTCCTCGTTAATTAAGCTTACTTCGAGGCAGAGTACTTTAGTACTAATAGCTTTAATACCTACGGAGGAGTTTAGGAGAATCGACTAGCTAATAAGGTTATTGCTAGTAAGGATTACGGTATATTAAAGCAGTAGTAAGACAGCGTAGTAGATTAGTTGCTTAGGAAGTTGTTTTTATATATTAATAGAATCTAGGAACAATACTACCCTAGGGGTATTATTACGGAGTTTCTAAAAAATAGCCTTAGCTAAGATGCCTAAGGTACCCTATATAACTGTTTATTTGTTTTAAGCGCGCAATATAAAGCGTGTCTAGTTAGATACGAAGAAAGGGAGGGATATTAGCTAGTAACCGGCCCTATATACCTAGGCTAAGTTTTGAGCCTATATAAGAGGCCTCCTTCTATATAGTAGATAGAGTATTAATCTCGTATAGCACATTATTTATGTTATACTTCTATAATGCCTATGTTGTAGGGCTCTAGTTACTAGTCTAAGCGACAGTCTCGTTATCCTATTATACTAAACATAGCTGCCTATATTGCTATAGGTTATATTACCCTCGGTTGCCTATACTATTACTACTAGTAGTAGTAGTAGTATTAGTTTCCGTCCTTTACTAGATAGGCAACTAAATAGTATTCTATAGCTATTAGCTATATATAGGAGTTGCTATTAGAATAAGGCGTAGAAGAGCCTCGGCTTATAATCTATAACTGTAATAAGGCACTAATAAAGGCACTAGCAAGCGACTAGACTTATTTATATATACAGCTCTACCGCTAGTATATTAGGCGCGTAGTAGAGGCTAATACAAAGGCCTTCCTTAGTACTAGGCTACCTAATCTATTAACAAGGCGGAGGCTATTAAGTATAGCTATATAGGACTTTATAGACCTATTTAATAAGGCTATTAACTCGCTATCGGTTAAGTCGTTTGCAACTAACTCGAAAGCCCTAGAGGGCGGCAAGATTGCCGCTCGTAAAGGTAAGCCTATACGAGACTACTCGGACAATAAGGACTAGCAAATACTAGCTAGTTATATAGCTAATATATAGTAGGTTTACCGATAGCACTATATTAAGTACTAGATTAATAGGATACGCTATTTTAGCAATATAACAACCTCGCTAGTAGAAGGTTACTACGCTAGTATTAAGGCATAGTTAACGACCTATAAGAATAATATCTATAGCTTTGTTAACCGGATAGTGCCCTATTTCTAGTATTAGGTTAACCGCTATTAAGCAATAGTTAGACTCGAGATTATACGACTAGTAGCGGTATTCTTAAGCGATCTATTCTACGCTAAAGTTGTTAGCTATATTAGTACATTCGCTCTACGTAAAGTAGCCGAGCGAAGGGCCCTCGTACGCGCTAAGCTCGAGAAGCGGAAGTCTAATAACTATAGGCTATTAGATTATACCTAGTATTATCGGAGGGTCTATAGCTTGAATTGTATATACTAGATGCTAGCACTTAAGGAGTCTATAACCGGCATTCTTACTATTTATATATTCGAGAAGCACTAGCGAGTACTAAGGAGCGATTATAATAGCAACGAGATAACAACTTACCGTACCTTAGAGCTACTTAAGCGGATTAATAAGCGGCTTAGTCGTACGACTCGGCGTAAGGCTACTAGATCTAAGCTAATTAAACAGGCCGCTAGATAGGCCGCTAAACAGGCCGCTAGATAGGCCGCTAGATAGGCCGCTAGATAGGCCGCTAGACAGGCCGCTAGACAGGCCGCTAGACAGGCCGCTAAATAGGCCGCTATTAACTAGTAAGAAGCGATAAGACAGGCTAAGCCGGGGAGGCCTATTCTACCGCTACTAGTACTATAAGGAGAACGTTTATATAAGGGCTATATATATAAAACAGCCTATAGGAGGTACAAGTGCGTAAAAGATAATATAGACTGCTACTCTAGCTATTACAAGTATAGGCCCTACGATAGAAACCCTATATCTACTTATTTACCTACTTAGGAAGGACCTCCGCTCGCTCCGAAGGCTCTACTAGTACCTACGGCGCTAGTAGGTATACTAGATTATACTAAGATTATATAGCAGGAACTATACGTTAATACGAGGGTCGTAGAACCTTATTTGCTAGGTAGGCAGTATGCCTAGAACAGTTAAGATTAGCTATAGGGTCGAATTCTACGTCTATTATTTACTTAATTCTTCTTTCCTATATTATTATTCTACTAAGTAGCTAGCATAGGCATTAGAAGTCACTATGCGATGTTCTACAGTGTAGATTACTAACAATATAGTCTCACCGAGACCGGAGCGGCCCTAGGTCCGTAGATTCTCGAATAACCGGAGTGGATTCTCGAATAGCCTCGCCCCGACTATGGCGATGAGCACGGCTGAACCTCGCCTTGGCGCACGCGACTCCTCTTTTGTCGATGGACCCTGCTCCCACATGAGTTGCCCTGCATCTTCACAACATCCATGCATGTCTACAAACCTGTCTCCGATCAAACCAGCTGAGTGTGACAGCCAGAATCCCGAGATGTCACTCAACCCGAAACGAAAGCACAGCGAAGTCGCGGGAATAGAAGGAGACCGACCCGAGCCAAAACGCCTAGCAGCAGCATGTACAAACTGCCGTGGCCAGAAAATAAAATGCGAGATGGTCAACGAGGAGCCGCCCTGCTCACGGTGTCAAAGAAGAGGCATTCCATGCGTTCTCCATACTGCTCAGCGACACCCCGTGGCAGACTCCAAACAGGTTGCCCTCCTGGGGAAGGACCTTGTCAACATCCACAGCACTTTGGAGAGCGTATGTCAGCACCTGAACCTTGACCTTCCACCGCCTCTAGCTTCTGAGAAGCAGAATGCTGAGAACAGTCGAAGAAACAACAAAATCGCCGGCGACGCGAACGAAGAAGGCACGTGTGAGCTTTCGCCCCCGGTATCGCCATCCACTGCCCAGGCGCCAATGGATATGTACTTGACAAGTGTCCAAGAGCCCATGAATGGCAAAAGTCCCCAGAGGCTGCGACGACGAGGGAGCGAGAGGGTCGACATGATCAGCAAAGGCCTCATTTCCTTGGATGACGCAGAAGTGCTCGTCAAGAAGTACTTGCTGCATCTGGATAGGTTTTTGTACGGCGTGACAGGCTCATACAAGGACGTGAACGAAGTGCGACGAGCATCTCCAGCTCTCTTGGCTGCTATGTGCACTGTTTCAGCTTTTCACGATTCCGAGCACAAGGCTTTGTTTGATACATGTAATCGCGAGTACAGGTCTATTGTATCGGGATCTTTATTCGAGAAGCGCGACCTGGAATTTGTGAAAGCACTCTGTATTGGCGCATTTTGGCTTCCAGATGCGTCGAGGATCCTATTGGGAGATGCTATCCGACGAGCGAAAGATCTCAAACTGCATCGAAATTTCCTCCGACTCACGGAGCCCGCTCTACTAGCAAGCACTTCGCCAGGCTCGGCAATCGACACCAGCGATATCAGGGATCGCGTGCGGCTCTGGTACCTACTCTATGTTTGTGATCAGCACTTGTCTATCCTGCATAATCGAGATCGGATCCTACGCCAGGAAAAGGAAGCTGTCGAGAACAGAGAGCTGTTCATATCTGGTGGCGAACCAGTAACATCTCAAGATATCAGAATCATGTCACAAGTCTCGTTGCTAGTCATTATGGGACAGATCCGTGACGTTTTTGGGTCCGAGTCGATCAGGCCTGTCTCCAAGACCTTGAGCGTTCAACTATCACATTTCGTGAGGGAGCTGGATTCATGGTATACGAGATGGTCCGCCCTGTTTGGTAAGTCTTTCGTCGAGATTTCACCTTTAAATTATTTGCTGACCTGTCGTCCAGAACCTGATGACCATATCGGAGCATTTCCACTAGCTGGTCTCACAATACATTGGCAGTTTGCCAAGCTTTACCTTGGACACCATGTCTTCCGTGGCATTGAGAACAACCCTATCCCGACCTACTTCTTGTCAGCCGCCCTCACAGCCCGCGACGCCGCAGTCACAATCTTCACCATGATAGCCGAAGACGACTCCTTCCGCAGTCACATCCTCGGCATGCCTGCATACTTCCACATCATGATCTCCTTCGCCGGCCAATTCCTTCTAGGCGTATGTCTGAAATACAGCCAACAGCTGGGAATCAATGTCGAAGAAGACTTTCGACGTATCAGCGCCGCCCTAGCTGTCTTCGCTCGCACACCAGCATTACCATCACACCCCATCACGCGCATGACTGCAGGGCTGATGAGAAAATTGAACGAATGCACAACAGCTTTAGGAATGGATTCCGTCCTGACTGAAAGTCCCTTCGCGAACCCCGAACTCGCTACTGTTAGAGACTATGCCAGCAACATCAACGGCAATGTCCGTGGGGTCTTCGATCTCCAAGCCGCCAACGGCCTGCCTGACGACTTTCTGTACGCCGATTTCAGCGATTTGACATTTCCGGATCCACAATTTCAATATATGCGACATGGAACATAAAGCGGCATCTATGCTACATTTGCATCCGCATCATCATGAAAGATTGTCGTTCCCCAATCCGGACGATTGAAGCGCTTGCCTTGCTTCTTAGCCAAATCATCAATTGCCTGCATCTCTTCCGCGCTGGGCACGAAATTATCTCTCAGATTCGCAGCTATACGCTTTGGATTGATGGATTTGGGAATCACGGACCAACCCTTCGCAATGCCCCAGCTGAGCATGACATTGCCGGTCGCAACACCTCGTTTCTTCGCCATCTCAACGATAACGGGCTCTTCGTGCAGCGTGCTTCCAGAACCGCCGAGTGGGCCGAATGCCGTCTGATGAATGCCTTTTGCCGAACAATATGCGTGTAGTTTGTCCTGTGGAAGCAGAGGTTGAATCTCGGTCTGATTGACTGCCGGCACGACCTTTGCAGTCTCGAGTAACTTCTCGAGGTGCACGGTAGAGAAATTCGCTACGCCGATGGCACGCACCTTGCCCGTGTCAAGCAATTTCTCCATCTCGCGCCAGGTGTCTCGAAAATCCCAGCCTTCGACATGCACTTTGCGATCTTCTTTCCCGTACTCTGCGCCTGTGTCAGGACTGAGGGTGACGGGCCAATGCATGAGATAAAGATCCACGTAATCCAGTCCGAGGTCTCGCAAGGACTTTTCTAGCGCTTGCTGAACGCGTTGATGGTCAGAGGACCAGAGCTTTGTTGTGACGAAGAACTCCGAGCGTGGAATAGGCGCTGCTTTGAAGACTTGGCCGATTTCAGCTTCGTTGAAGTAGAGTGGAGCACAATCGAAATGTCGATAGCCTGCTGCGAAGGCTTCTTTGACGGCTTTTGCAGCTTCTCCTGGTGCTGCCTTCCACGTGCCAAACCCTACTGCTCCGATCTTAGCCCCAGTATTGAGAGTGAAGTGCGAGCGGACCCCTTCCTTGCGATGAACCCCATTCGTCCCATTGACTGACTTGGATGTAGGGCGAGAGATGGAATCTGGCAGCGACCTCTCCAGCTCGGCCAAGGGCTGCATGGCCGCAATCGTCGCGTCCTGCAAAGCCTTACCGGCAGGCTTATACGGCTTTCTCGTGCTGAATAACGCATGATTAGACAAACCAGCCACCGGCCCCGCGAAAAACGCAGCGCCGAATTTCGTCGCCGCCAGACCTTTCTTGCAAGCGGCCTCAGCAAGCGCAACTCTCCCTTGCAGCTCTCTCGCCTCCTCGATCTTCCCTTCCTGCCATAGAGAGTAGAGTCTCGAGACGGATTTCGGAAACACATTTCCAATCCCGGTGACGCAGCCTACACCACCTCCGATCAAGCATGGGAGAAGCCAATCCGACTGTCCGGCAAACACCGCAAATTCCGAAGGGTGGAAGTTTGCGGTCAACGATGTGACTTTCCCAGCATTCGCACATGTGAGTTTCACACCTCGAATGTTTGGATGCGGCGCCAATTGCGAGAGCACGTCGACTCCTAAATCGATGCCGGAAGTCACGCCTGGGAACTGTTTTTTTTTTGACAAAAGTCAGAATTTTTTTTTTTTTGGAGTCAAGACATGTAAGTAGAATACTGACATTGTACGCAATGATGGGGATACGACTGTAATCCGCCACCTCGCGGTAAAACTCCAGCAAAGCATCATTTGTGATGGCTTTGGGCCAATAACTCGGCGGCAATAAAAGACCGAAATCCGCACCCGCGTCGGCGGCATCGTCTGCTAATTTTAACGTCTCGTTCGTCGATTGACCGCTGATGCCAGCTGCTAAGGGAAACTCTGGGACTCCGAGGTCGGTGGCGACTTTTCGTGCGGTGCGGGTGATTTCTATTCTCTCTTCGCGGGACAGTAGGGCGGCTTCTGCGGTTGAGCCTTGCAGGACGAGGCCGTTGACGCCGCCGCGGATTAGGTGGGAGAAGTAGGTGTAGGTTGCTGCGAGGTCGATTTCTTGTCGCGGAGTTTCTTTGTATAAAGATATGACGGGACACCATATGCCGGGAGGAATGGCTGGTGGTGTTTGGTTTGATGATGATGGAATTCCTGGCATTTCGAGATGGGATTTCTGGATACCGGTTGTCTTCTCGTCTTGACTGTGATGACGAAGATTCATGAGACATTAAGCGTCCCGTCGAATGTATACAGTCGAATGCTGCATGGTCCCACAACTCGGTGTCTCTTGAACCGTTCGTGAGCTGGATTGCGGCCGAGAAGCCGAACAGTGACCCACACATCGGAAGCACCTCTCCGGTCATTGATAGTCCTGCTGGGATTCGATCAAGTGGTAAGACGACAGCTTCAATAATACATCGGAGGATAGCATTGGCAAAATTGCTTCCAAGCTCTCGGTCACTGTCGTGAAAGTATTGCAAGTGCTGCATCGACAAATGCATCAATCTCTTGGACGGTATTAGCGAGTCCAGGACATATTGTGATTCCTTCAAGCGATGGATCCTCTTCCATCTTGAAAGCCTTCACGTGAATGTTATACTCGTCAAGCAAAGTCTTCGTAAATCGTTCACAGCTCATACCATCCACGACGAAAGCTCCAAAGCCAGTTCGTGGAGTCGCATCAGGATCAAAGAGCAGCCTCACGCGCGAATGCTTGCCTAGCCTCGTAGCCCAGCGACTCCTCAAGTACTGGTAACGAGCACTTTTTTCCGCCCGACCAATATCTCTGTTGAACTCCACCATCTCAGGAACAGCAGCAGCCAAAGCTTTAAACACCGTCCCAACCTCTTCGAATTTCTCGATAGAATCCTTCGGCAGGTCTGAGTATGGCGCGATCAGAGGCCATACATTCGCGATTTCCGGTTTTCGGACGTAAAGAAAACCTGTGCCTCTTGGCCCGTGCATCCATTTGTGAAGACATGCAGCGAAAGCATCGCAGCGCAGCTCGTCCAGGTTGAAATCCATGTGTCCAGCACTATGGGCGCCATCCACAAACGTGAAGATTCCACGCTCTCGCGCAAAGGCACTGATGGCTCGGACTGGGAAAACAAGACCCGTGCGACCGACTACGTGAGGGAATGAGATCAGTTTGGTCCTAGGTCCGACAACTGCTTCAAACGCCTTTGCGATGTCCTCGTCTCGTGCTGGTCCAAACGGCAGATCCACCAGTTTCAGACTGATACCCTCTCGTGCAACTCTCTGTCGGATGATAGCCAAGTTGAAATCGTAACAGTACTTCGTCGCGAGAATTTCATCGCCCGGTTTGAGCGAGAATCCATTAAGCACCGTCGCTATGCCCTCCATCGCATTTCTCGTGAATGCGATCTCATCGCTCGATGTCCCGAAGTATTCTGCCAGCATGGTTCGCAGCGCAATGGACGAGCCGCTCTCCTTCATGGTTTTGAAGGGTTCGTATGAGTCTAGTTCGTAGGACAGAGCTGTGTTGAGGAGGGATCGGATCTTTTCGCGCACAATGAGCGGTGCAGGGCTTCTCCGAGAGTTCACGAGCTGCGTGTTTACATACATTGGCACCATGGTGGCCCTTACAGATAGCCAGTATGCTTCATCGTCTGGCGCGACTCTGAGGCCGCTTGGCAGAGGCATTGTGCCGTGGTGCACGTGAAGTGAGCGAGACAAGAGCGGAGAAGTCAATCGACCTACATGGTTGTGGTATGGTAGCGATATATCGAGCTGCTGGGTGAGAATGCAGAGTGAAAGTTCGAGCTTAGGGTTAGGGTTAGGGTTACATCTCCAACGCCAAGACCAGACATCCATCTTTCACGCGTCTCCCTTCTTCTCCACGCGCTCTGTCACCACCACACCTCCCTCTTTCATATCGCTACCATCAGGGTCAGCATCTGCCGACTTATGGTCCGCAAATGCCTCTCGAACGTCCTTTCTGACCTTGTCCTCCTCCTTGGGGTACGCGTACTTCCACATCATCCACAATGGGTGCTTGAACAGGTCATCCATGGCCTCGATGGAGCGGCCTTTAGTCTCGGGGAGACATAGCCAGACGAAGCCGACGCCGAGATACGTCAAGACGGCGTACATCAGGAAGATGCCCCAGCCCATGGTCGTGATCATGTTTGGCGTCGCTCTCGTAATGCCGTAGTTCACGATCCAATTCGTGAAGAAGCAGAAAGACATGCAGAAAGATCGCTGCAGGTGAAGTCAGCACAGCACGTCTCTTTGCAGCCTTGTCCGATGAGACACTCACTATGCGAGCTGGAAAGATCTCTGCAGCAACCACATAGCACGCTACCGAATGACCGAAAGACCATCCAAAAGCATAGAGGTAGATGGCAATGATTCCAACTATGCCGCCTGCCGGTGTGCCCCCGCTGACGGACTCTGCATCTGGCCCAAATCGGACATACAACGCGAGATACAGCATGCAAGACGCCTGAATTGTTGCACCCACGATGAGTGGCAGGCGACGTCCGACATGCTCGACGAGATATCCCACATAGAGCATCGTGGTAACGAACTTGACCTGGGAGCAAGGTTCTGGCCTTAGCGCATGTCTTAGTCTTCCTGCAGTGATTGCACACTTACCACTCCATACACGCCGGTGGTCAGCAACGAGTTACCGTCGCTCACCCCGATAATCTGAAAGATGCGCGGAGCGAAGTAGTTCAACGAGTCGGTGCCGGTCAACTTGTGAAACAAGAACAGCATGATAGCAAGAAAGAATCTCTGAAAGTTGCTCGGGATGGTAAAGATGTCCTTCAAGATCTGCCAGTACGAGTTGCCCGCGTGAATCTCCTGTTCGGCGGCGATCTGGTTTCTCGTCTCGGAGTACTCGAGCTGGACATATGGATGGTCTGCTGGAAGGCCTCGGAGCTTGCATAAATTGGCAAGACCTTTCTCGCTCTTACCGACGCGGATCAGATATCGTGGCGTCTCCAACAGCCATGGTACCATCAAACACATAAGTCCGCCTGGAATGAGTTGGATGGCCATTGCAGTTTGCCACTGAGAAGTATTGTGCTGGATATTCGGTCCAGACCAGAGAGAAACGCCATAATTAACCCAGAAAGCGATCATCAAAGCCACGATGATGCAGAGGTTATAAGTGCAGACCTAATAAATAATCTTCAATTAGCCTTCAGTGACCCAACATTTCGACCAAAAAAAAACAAAAATTACCATCGACCCCCTCACAGACTTCGGAGCATTCTCCGACAAAAATTGCGGCGTGAGCATCGAGCACGCACCAACGCCCAACCCTCCCACAAACCTCCCCGCCAACAAAACCTCAAAATCCGGCACCATCTGCAACGACGCCCCCACCATAAACACCAATCCAAACGTCAAAACCGACCACTTCCTCCCCAAAAAATCCGAAGTAGGCGCCGCCAACAAAGCCCCCAGCGAACCCCCCGCAGCAAGCATCGCCGCAATCGTACCTTTCTTATCATCCCGCTGCGCCTGCGTGTCATCGCGGAAATCGAACGAAGTCTCAAACGAAGGCAATTCCATGATTCCGCCGATGTTTCCCTGGTCGAAGCCGTAGAACATGCCGGCCCAAGCGACGGCGATGAGCAGGTAGAGGAGACGGAGATTAAAGATTTCGGTGGGGTCTTTTTTTGCGTCGGTGGTGAGGAGGAGGGAGCCGCCGGCCATGGTTGGTGGTATGGACGGAAACGGGGTTGGAGAGGGAGATGTTGGCATTGTTTAAGATTGACTGACTGACTGCTTGGTGGAGAATTATAGGAAGGTCGCGCTCGGCGCTCTACATCCGATATGCTCTCTGGCAGGTGACTGCTACTAATACACACTAGAAGCTTGGTTGCTTCGCAAAGCCTGGTAGGGGCAGCCAAAACGACTCGAAGCATCGACCCATCTTCGCCCAGCGCTGTGGCCAAGACTTCCTATGCGCCAAGGCATGGCGACAAGAGCACCCCCCATGGGGACTACACAAGTAGTGCGGAGACAGCCTCCGATCTTTTGCCTAGACTCAGGCGGCTAGCACTGACAAGCCGTGAAGGACTGAATGGGTGGTTAGACCGATCGTGATATGAGACAAATCGAAAGGCAGACGAGAACGAGATTCGAAATCGAACTTTATAGTACAGTTCAATGCCAACAGCAGCCTTACCAGGCTCGGGGTATCATGCAAATCATATATGCGCCGCCCGATGCAATTTTGAGCTTTCTTTCATGCAACAACAATCCACAATCCACCACAACTATTCAGTGGCATCTTCCCACGTGATCATGGCAGGCAGGAAAGCACAGTACCACCATCCCGAAGCTCTCCAGCCACCCTTCCACACACCATCGACTTCTTTCCCGCTGCCGCAACGCTTCGCGATTCCGGCTTTCTCCATCCAGTCCAGAGCCATCTCGATCTCCCACGCCCATAGCTTGTGCTCATGTGCGACCTGCATGTGGAATGCCTTTGCACCAGGACGATAGACCAGCAAATGCAAAAGCGACCGAAGCACCATGGACCAAGCGTCGCCAATCAAATTGCCATGGATGTCGACCCAAAGGGGAATGCGAGGTCCTATTTCGCCGGGTACTAAAGCAGACGCGAGAGGCACGGGAATGTTCGGGTTGAGTCCCGGTTCATACTCGTAGCCGCTCGTCTTGGTATAGACAAGGTCGTACTTCAGCACATTTGGATCGACCTTCTTCGTCTCGTACCCAAAGCCGCCATAGCCCCATGCGGAAAGTCTTGGGCCTTGAGCATTGAGGTCGTTCGTTGGCTCGGGAAGGATTGGCTTGACTCTGAGGAAGCCTTGAGCACACATGTTGGTAAGGACGAGATAGTCCGGGTCTGATGCTACAGGTAGCAATTGCATGTGGTCGTGCGTCTTGAAGTATTCGTTGATCTTGATCCAAGACTGAGCAACGGCTTTCAAATGTCCATGCTCGTCGTATTGGGAGCTAGGCCATCTCCTGAATTGTCCGATCACATCGGTATGGATCACGTAATTTCGCCCGGGCAATTGCCGACCTTTCTTCTCTTGCGACAAGACGTGCGAATCGAGAAGGTCGACGGCGGCGCTTTCAAGAGCTTTGGCGCCGAGGGCTGCAATCTTTCGAGCTGCTTTTTCGGCGTTGTAATTTGCCTGCTTTGTCATTGCGACAGCACGAAGCCAGGATTTGGCGAGGAGCATGCTCTCGCGTCGCTCGTCATCTTGCTTTTTCTCCCCGGGTATAGTGATTCCATGGACATATGCAACCGCAAGTTCCCTTCGTTTCATATCGGCAATGGGTTTGAAGAAGACATCCGTATCTTGATCGACGAGCTTGGAGCTTTGGCGGAAATTGTAATTTTCTTCAAGCGCCTTTCTTGTTGGCGGCAGTAATGGGACCTCAGAGATGGTAGCATGCTTGACCAAAGGGATCGTTTCTTGCACCCAACGGAAGAGACCAGGCCAGTCAGTGTTGCCTAGGTCCTGAAAGTTTACAGTTGGCAACTCATTCTTTTCGTACGCTGCCAAGAATGGCTCCAGAATCGCCGCACGAAGCGCGTCCACATCTGCCTTTCGAAATCTGACATAGTGCGACCAACGTCGTCTAAGAAATTCGCCTTCGTAGCGGAAGCTCAACGCATGTGCAACCAAAGCCCAGTTTAGGCGATCTTGATTGATGCCACCACAGACTGCAGCCACCAAAGCGATAGCGATGACAAGCCTGTCAGCGTCTTTGAAAGCTGGACCGCTATGGCGGTCACGAGTGACCATATCCTTACCGCCACGGGGCATTCGCACCCTCCCTGGCGTTCCGAGGACAACTTCTTCTTTGGGCGACGCAGCGCCAGGCACAAAGTCCTCGTCCGATGCAGGCAGATCGTCCTGGTCAATTCTGGCTCTCTTCTTCCTGGACTTGTATCGGCGCTTCGGTGTCGCCTCTCGCGGCGGAGCTTCAAAGGGAGATTCTGTGCGCGTACGTACTTCATCCTCTGAATCATCCGTCCCTGCAACAGGTTGCGGTGGCTCAGATACTATTTCCGCGAGCCTATCACCGGGGACTTTGAGCTTGACCACATCAGAAATGGAGCTCTGGAAGACATTGCTCGAGACGGGCTGAAGTCCATTCGCCCGTTGGACTACCTCTGCCCAGTCTTGAGAACTCAGATGTTCCCAGGCGGCATCTTCACGAGCCAACGTACGCTCTCGTAACCGAGGGCCAAATAGAGCCGTATCTGATGGCTTTGGGAAGGTGGAGAACGTGCCAGTGCCTGCATGGAAGAGCTGATTTGGGTTCATGAGCAGCGCAACAGATGGATCGCGAAAATGGGTACCGTCCTCCCACCACTTTCTGCGTGGGTTAGCCCTTGCAGTGCGCAGGGAGCCAAGTGGACGACGCAGGTTTCGAGCAGGCTGCTGAGCTCTTGACTTCGGTTTGAATGCTCCCCTCTCCTGCTCGCGTGCTTGCTTGAGTTGCTTCAGCCCATCGGTTGGTAACAAAGCAGATGACAGGTCATGCTTGTATCCATCCAGCTGAATCTCATCTTGCAATTCTTGCTGTCCCGATTGAACAGAAAGCAAATATTCATCGTCGTCATCTTCAGTGTCCTCGTCATCGGAGGATATTGCTGATCTGCGTCTTTTGCGGCGTTTGCTCGGGAATGTGAACTGCCTTTGCCTATACAACTGCTGCGTATGCAATCTCAGAGCTTCGGCATTGGCGAAACCTTTAAGTCGCGCTTTTTGGTCGTCGATCGCAGCCGCCGCGGCACTTTGCTGCACGGTGATCGGACCATCTAGAGATTCTCCGCCGTCCGACGGTTGCTGCGTATCGCCTGCCACAGGACTGTCCACATGCGGAGCGGTGGTTGACCCATTGTTCTTCTCGACCAGCTGCTTTTTCGTGACCTCAGCACGCAGCTCGGGCGACACCTCCACCTCAAATGGGAGATGGAGTTTCGGGAAAGCCAGAGTCATCTGCTTTTGCATCTCCAGCAACGACTCGGAAGAGGCTTCGACGTGAGGCTCAGCCAGAACGTGCTTGACCATTCTTGCGCCCTTCTTCGCCTCAACGGAAAACTTGTATTTCTTCAGTCTGCCGTCACTCAAGAGTTGCTGTATTGTCTTTTCTGTTGTTATCCTGGCAGGGGTCTGTCCGTTGTGCGACTTCCTCCAAGCTGTGGTGCACACGTACCACAGCTCGTGATCGCCCGGAAAAACTCCGTTGCATTGACGTATTGCGTTCAACACCGTCTGTCGCCGTTCTTCGGCTGCTGCGCCTCCAGGTCTTGAGTTTGCAGCTACTAGGGGTGTTGCTGGATTCTTCACAAGTTCAAGCCCGAACGTGCCAGGATCTCCAGTTTGCAAGCCCTGGTCAACATCCATGAGATGAGATGTTGCAGCAGTAGGCTCTTCAAGGTGGTCAGTGGCACCTTGCCCAACTTCAATTTTGTTAAAAGATGACGCCGGCTGCTGAAGAGACACGTTCTCAGACTGTTGAGTTGGCGTCAACACTATAGGCAGCTTAACAACAAGACCGTTCTCAAGGTCCTCTTCAGAGTCATTGGCACTCAGGCTGGGCGGTGTGTAGATATTGGGGTCGGCCAGAGGCGCAGTCATTGCAGCTGGACCATGCACTGCTGTCTTTTGCGTTATACCGGGCAGAGGAAAGCCCTTTGCCCATCCACCATGACCGACGTGATGGAAGTCCTCTTCAGGACGAGCATTGATATAGGCCGTATCATAACCCCCTCTCGTACCAAAATGGTCCAAAGAAGCTGGTGGTTGAACGGAGGGACTCAACGCCTGAGGCTTCGTTGAACGAGCTTGCGGCACACTGTTATGCTCTTGAAAAGGGACTTCTGGTGTGCTGATACCATTCACTATGCCTTGATCCGTAGTATTGCCTTGCTGTTCCGATGGTTGTGGCTGTATCGGTGCTGCTGCTGATAAGACGCTCGTCACTGCGCCCACATTCATCGACGGATCGGCGAGATCACGACCAGGAGTTGAGCCATCAGTATTTCTGTGCTGCAGAGCTTGAACAATTGCTGCGATTCTCGCCAGCATCTCGGGAGTTTTGCGACCTGGGTGGTCACGAAGCTTTTGAAGCTCGCTGGTGAGAGCCGCTTCTTGAACGCCTGCTTCAACTTCTTTTGCCTCTTTGACTTTCTGCTCCAAGACGGCCATCCTTTGGAGTGCTTTTGCTGACTTTCGACCTGGGGTGCTTTGCAGCTTTGCAAGCTCTATGGCAGCGGCGTCGGCATTGAAAGTCAGAACCACTGATTCTTGGCCTGACTGAGAGACCGGAAGAGCATCTCGGTGTACAACGGCAGGATTACGTTGTGCGAATTCAGGAGCTGCAGCCCGATCCTGCAGCGTTTGGACGGTCCCAGTCTGCATCCGCGAAGGCGTTGATTTGACTGTCTCAGCCTTCACAAGTTGCTTTTGAAGTCGTGCAATCTCATTCAAGGTTGCCTGCGACTTCCGACCTGGTTTGCTGAAAAGTCGTTTGAGACGCTCTCTAGCAGCAGGAACATCCTGCATAGTGTCAGTCGTTTGCGTTGAAGGAGCAACCTGAGCTCTGTAGGTATTGCTTGGACTCATATCGTCTGCGGCGCCATCAAGGCCGGCTTGTCCAAATCCAAATTCAGAAAACTTTGGCTCTGCAAATTCTGCAGCGGCGACTGGTTGTATATCTGTTGCAAGAATGTTTTGTTCCGGAGCAAACGCGAATGGCCCAGAGGCTTGGGCGGACATTTCAGACATGACTTGTGACGAAAATTGCGGAGCTCGTTGTGGTGAACCGATCTCGGTGGTACCTGTGTAAGGGTGGTTTTCAGCGTTGATTTTCGCAAATGTCTGCGTACGCTGGCGCTTGTGCGGTGGGCGGCCAGCTTCTGAATCGGAGTTGCCAGGTTCGTTCGAAATCTCAAGTAGACTACCGACCCTAGCAGTCTTCCTTTTGGTTGCCTTGGGTGCAAAACGCGGCGTGTTATCCGCTTGGAACCAATTGAGCTCATGCAGTCGGTTGCTTTTGATAACTGCAATGAGCGATTTCCTAGGTCTGCCACGAGAAACAAATGATTCTGCTTTCATCTTGCGGGCGCCAGGAGGATTCATGTAGACTCCAGGCTTATCTCGCGCGATAATTTGTGCTTTCATGGCGGCTACGCGCTCCTGAGGCAGATCCGCCGTGTCAATCATGTCAACATCAGCCTGACTGCCAGGTTCCGCCGCCTTCTCTCGGCGAGCAGACCTCACCTCGAGCACAACTCGCTGCTCTGCGACCACTTGTGCCCATTTGTCGAATGCCTCGTACTCTTCTTCTTTGATCTCATGTATCCGAACGATCGGCACATCTGGTTGTCCTGGTAGAGATCTTCTGCTATTCTTGCGCTTCACCACACTCGAGGGTTGTGGTGTACTCTCGTTTGTCGTGATATCTGTCTCCGGCGTGCTTTCAAGCAGTGCGTTCGGCTCAACCGTGGAGCTCAACCGCTCCCGCATGCCATAAGGCCCTCGCGGAAGTCTTGCCGGTGCATGGACTTCAGAGCCTGCAGTCGTTCCTCCATCTACGGTCATGGCTTCTTCTGCCTTCTCTGTCGATGACTGCTCTATCAACGTGAGTGGCAAATCTGGCCTTTCTTTATTGGGCGCGAGTTTCATCTGCGAAGTTCGCGGTATAGGAGGTTTATTCTTCGGATCTCTGCCCGTCCGCTTGACGAGACTGGCTGTCCCTTCAGCACCGGTAGTAGTGGCACTCTTGTTGGATGAGTTCCGACGTGGAGTGGCCTTCTTTCGTTTCTCTTTCAATGTGCCGTGGGGAATAGGAGCCTGTTGCTCGACACCTTCTTGCACAACCATGTGGTCATCGTCAGTGCGCATGCGTTCAACTACTGCACCTTTGCGACCTTCGGCTAAGGTCGCGCGACCGTCACGACCTGCCAGCTCTTTAAGCGGAATCTTTGGAAATCCCCATGAGTCCTGGTCAAATTGTGAATCTGCATTGCTGCTTTGAGTCACCTTTTGGTGATTCTCGACGGTTCGGTATCGATAACGTGCGGATTTCGTGCTGACAGTAGAACGCGCCAAGCCTAGATGCCGCAGATGTGGAGGTTGGGAGTCTTGCCAAGCGTCGGTGAGATGGTTCGTGACTTCGTCCATCGGGCGTCTCCATGCCAGGCCAGTGGTACGTTGTGCAAGCTTCGATAAAGTGATGCCAGCCTCGCCGCTACCGTCAACGATGTCATGTATCAAATTTGGCAGCGGTACCTCTGGTCGCCAGATGGGTGGCACACGGTCTGTGATCAGATCGAGGTCGTCAATGTCATCATCATCATCATCATCATTATCACCATCGCCATCCTCATTCACAGGTCGAGTTATATTAGCTGGAGGCACCTGCACAACGACATCGTTCTCACCCTCGTCATCAGTGTCCACATCATCAGCAAGCAGAGCTTCGTCAATATCAGTGCCAATATCCTCTTCCCGAGAGGCTGCGCGAGGCTTCGCACTGTCCTTCAACCAGATCAGACGATCTAGATCGGCTGGATCACGTAGCAGTTGAATAGCCTGAGCACTCCGTTGATGTCCAGAAGAGTTGGTCGTGATGATTTTGCCGTCTCGATCGACAAGTTGGGCACTAACTCGACGCACAAGGCCGACTTCTGCTACGCGCCGCAGGCACCGTGCAAGCTGCTGCTTCTGATGCTTGCTTTTCTGTGCAGCAATGCCAAGCCCCAACCAGATATCTGACATGCTCATGATGTTGTGGTTCTCTCTGAGCAACTGTATGATGGAGTCAAACCACCTGTCAGTGTACAAGACTGGGCGGGTAGAGCCGCGTAGTCCAGGCTGGTTGGCCGGCATGTCAAATTGGTTCTTGAGGTTCGCGTATCTGGCTAGTCTGAGGACACTCGTCCTCGTTCCAGCGCCGACAACAGGCTCTTTCACGATGTACCCATTCTGCGCCAAGCGATCCGTGCGGTGTGGTACAGAACGCTTGTCTTGTCCCGTGATCTTGGTGACTACGGGTTGGAGGACGCCACTGGGACCGTGTGAAGCAATTGCCTGCAATAGTTGGAAGTCATGATTTGGCAGTCGACTATGATCCACGCCATGCCCCGCGACTGCATGCCAGATCCGGTCGAGTGTAGTGACAAGGCGCCGTCCAGAAAGTGCTGTTCTGACGGCAGGGGCTACTTGATCTGCGTCGGATGTGGAGTCTTCTTTGCTCGCAGAATCTCCAACTCGCATGACACTGATGTCTGGACATTCGACGAGCCATTTGAAGGCCGCTTGGATCAGCTCGTCGTCGACATTGGTCCGACTCTGCGGTGGCGAGTCCGAGAAGATGTTGTCGACTTCACCCTGCGTAGGCGGCGTGGTTTGGCTTGCAGCTTTTTCATGGTAAAAGCTCCTCACAGCGTGCTGGAATTGCGCGGCGTCCAGACCTGTCGATTGTTAGTATGGCGTTTTCGGTGATTCGAGACATTTTGCCGCCGAAGTTCATCTTGCGCGACAGCGACTCGAACCCACGTCGTTACCCAGGTGCCGTCGCCGCTGTCGCCAAGAATATCAGAAAGTGGATTGCTCACCTCGGTCGCCCGCAAGAGCGACACGGTTGAGCAGATGCTCTCTCAGGTCGTCGAAGTCGGCCATGTCGGCCGGTCATTTCGGTATGGCGAGTGGCTTTGCACGGCACGGCATGTGTTGATTGGTGGCTTGCAAGTGTCGGCGATGTGGTGCAGGTGAAGGGCTGCAAGTCTGCGCTTGGTGGGGTGGGGTCGGAGTCGAAAGTGATCCATGTCCATGCGGCAAGGACGGCGAAATTTCCGCCGATGGCCGCTGCTTTGCTTTCGAACCTCTTCTTGGCACTCATATTGTCAACACACACGACTTCGACCTCGCCCTACCCGCCTCGCAAGAATTGAACAATCATATCTCGCCAGAATGGTTGAGTTCGATGGACACGCAGCCAGCGAAGCTGAGCTGGGCTCAACAACTGGAGCAATGGAGAACCCGTGCACCAGAAATGCCTAATGTGAGCTTCATCGTCCATGAAGTCTCAAGTGACGTCGACGAGAGGAAAGGCCATGCTGTTGTGTGCCTCAATATGGAAGTCGTCGGTATGGCAGAAATGGTTCACTTTCATGCTATGAACGAGCTAAGCTGGAGGAGAGTAGGAGGAGGACTCAACGCTCGATGGCTATGCTTCCATAATCTAGGCTTGAGAGGCACTCCTGGCAATAGTGGTGGGCTGGGGTGATATCTCAGACATCGAGCTCGAACCTGCGCAGTATCGCGATTGCCTGCCGTATATCTGCTCATTTGGAATCACGATCATCACTGTCCCGCCAGGAGAGATGACAGGGACTCCAAGCGAACCTCGGAAGCGACTCGGCTGGATGCTCTGGATGTTGAAATGTGTGTCAATGAATCCGACCCAAGCGATCAGGCTAGTCGAGAGTGCCATGGAATACCGCGGTGGTCGCCTGACGCGGCTGCTAACAAAGCTGAGCATCTGATCGCATATTTGCCCGTGTTCGATCGTCACACTCGATGCTGTCAAACATCGACAGGTCTTGACTTATGGGCCAGTGCGCCATTGTGAAAAGCCTGGTCAGCCTTTCTACTTGCGCAGTGCTCGGTGACGCGAAATGGAGTCGTAGTCGCTCTCCCAGATAGGGAAATTGTATGCTAGTGTTAGGAGCGCTCAGCGATGATTGTCCCGACGAAGGAAGCGAAGCAATTGTTATGCGTTCGAGCATGAGAGGACATTGACATTGTGCAGTTGACGCGGAGTGCGGGTATTCTACCCCCGAAGATCTGCCGACTCCTCCTCCTCCTCCTTGATCTCACGTCTTCAGCTTCACCTTTCACATTATTACTACAGACCATTTAAACGGCAACTGCATAAGAAGCAGCTCGTAAACTTCGTACCGTCCAGATTCTCGATTGCTCGAATTCTTGAAACCGGTGCATCTGCATAGCGGGCAGATGTTGCGCAGAGGAAAGAGCAGAGGAAGTGTCAAGGGTGAATAAACAAGCTGCGTGCGAGGCACAACCTTACGCACTCCCACTCGTGGAGAATACACCTGTTGCATCTGCCTTCCGAATGGCGGCCTGCCCAAGAGCACGAGAGCGCACAACGACGGTGCAGGGAGACCGCTCGGCGGTTGCCTGGAGCTTGCGAGCTGTGATGAGTGGAGGACGGCAACCATGCCAAGCCTTTGCTAAAGGGTGATAAGCGCAACAGAATTGCTGATAATCACCTCGGGTGGGATGGTTGAGTGGTAAGATTATTCGAACCACTCAGCCCACCACCAATCCCGCCCGGGGCCGGACGAATGGGTGCTCAGGTGCTTTCGACTCATGGGAGTAATCGTACACATGAGGAGGGAGCATCTGGGGTGCTCACAGGGGCTTTCGACTCATGGGAGTAATCGTACACATGAGAAGGGAGCACCTGTGAGGTCCCGGATTAACCTGGCGACGGACCGGATCCGTCGTTGGCTTAATTCTTTTGCTTTTGCGCAGGAGTTCAATTCTTTCCGCGCGATGGCAGATGCTGACTGTGTCCGTGGCCCAGAAGTTTGCTAATCATTTTCTCTACACCGGTTCCTTCAGCTTGTTGAGGCATGTCCAGTTTTTGCCTCGTTCAAATTGTTTTGGCGCCTGTCGGATTCGAACCCACGACCATCTTCGGCATTTTCATTTCAACGCCGGGCCGATGAACCCGATCACAAAAATGCCGTGGCAAGCGTCTTCCGAAGTGGCCCTCAGCGTAGACGAAGTCGACGACGCGCCAGGTCTGACGGTAAAGAGTATCAACTTCTTCGCAAACAAATACGGTGCGCCTTACGATGACGAGAGATACTCTCCCTTGCTATATTCTTCTCGCAAAGGTTTGGCGAAAAAAGCTTTCTTCCAGACTTGTGGCTGGGATCCGCGTCGCGACGAGGCGATTCTGTATCGACAACTTTTCCAGCACGAAGGTATCGAAACTCGCGAGAAGATTTATCAAGGCTTGCCTCATGGTTTTTGGACGACTTGTCCCGGTCTCCCGGAATCGAAGGCTGCGAAACAGGACTCTGTGGATGGTGTTAAATGGATGCTCGGATGAATCGCCATACATAAGAAGAACAGAGTTGAAAGCCATGCACTGAGGAGACCATATGTGACTTTTACGAGCAACAGTGAGTGCGCTTTAGCCGTCTTTCCGAATATGGTAATCGCATTCCCGGACTTGTACTGTAGGGAAGCTACTGAAATTGGTGCAAACGCATACTTGATGCAACTCCTCTTCATGGACATATAGAACAGTATCAGCAAAGTATCTTGAATTTGCAGGGACCAACTGCAACACCCTGATGACTCGTGAGTGGTGGTGTGTATACCTCACTGAGATTTCTCAGTCGATCTCCCCACTGTGTCATGCACGCGCGCCACACCCGCAGACTCAGGTCCAAAATCCTTATTAGCCGCGGCTTGAGAACATCACCTGGGCAGTTCTACCAGACTTAGTCTAGGCTTCTTGAGATGGACCGCGGCACTGCTATCTACGATGTTCATTGACGACATCTTGGCGAGCGGTACGAGATGGCTGTCCAAAGCTTGTTGATGTACTGCTTTTCATGCTGTGTAGGTACAGAACTTCATTCGGCTTTTCATCCTTGTGGCATTGAAGACACAAGCTTGTATGCTTGTACGACCACCCACTATGAGATTCAGTAACGGAGCCCCATTGCTCCTCTTCTCAGTCGTTTCCGCTGCCAGATTGAACAAGTACGGATTCACTGAGAGAGTAGTTACGCCTTCGGGTTCAGTACAGGAAGCCAAGCCGAGCTCTAGAACATGCTCCAACAATGGACAAGTACTTTGCAATGGAGAAGAATATTTTGCCATTTGCAACTATGGCACAGCAGTCTGGGAAAAAGTACCCGAGGGCTCCTGGTGCGAGAATGGAAAGGTTGTTGGCCATTACGATGATGTGTGCTCTAGCGATGGAGCCATTGTCTGTCATGGTCCTTACAGCTATGGAATTTGCAACTCTGGTCACCTCGTTTGGCAAGCCACAGCTACAGGGAGTTGCTGCAGTGGTAGAAAAATAATCGATTACTGTGCATCTTCTGGGTCAGTCAGTACTTCTCAAACATCCTCGATACCATCCTCGATCGTCTCACTACAAATAATATCCGGAAGCTATGCGTCGCAACCACCATCGTACACAACTACAGTCCCAACACCAAAGTCGTCACCTTCATGCTACCTTGGAGGCGGTCCAACAGCAACAATCGAGAACGGCATAGTCCACGGCCTCACAACTTCCTTACCCGCAGCAACCGCTCCCGTGAACAAATTCCTCGGAATTCCCTTCGCAAAGAGCCCCCCAACAAGGTTCGGACCACCAGAGCCAGCACCACAGTCCCAAGCAATCCTCAACGCGACTGCCTGGAGTCCTGCCTGTCTCCAACAATTCGTCTATCCAATCTACGTCCAAAAATTCACCGAATATGTCTTCAACAACCCAAACCCCGAAGAAAGCGAAGACTGTCTATATCTCAACGTCTACGCTCCAAGTTCTCCAGCACCGTGCGATGGCAGACCTGTCATGGTTTGGATTTACGGAGGAGCACTACAATTCGGAAACGCAGGACAACCTTATTACGACGGCAGTTCGTTCGCCGCATACGAAGATATAATCGTCGTAACAATAAACGTAAGTGTACCTAGATCCATAATAAAAAAAAACGAACCTTCTCCATCATATATATATCATCCCACCAACTAACAGTCCTCCCTCCCTTCGACACAGTACAGAACCAACATCTTCGGCTTCGCCACAACCCCCGAACTCCCCCTCACACAACGAAACCTGGGGTTTTTAGACCAACGCTTCGCCCTCGAATGGGTACAACGCAACATCCAAAACTTCGGAGGTTCGCCAGAGAAAGTGACGGTTTTGGGGGAATCGGCGGGCGCCTGGTCTGTCGACACTCTCCTCACTTCATACTCTCGCGACGACGAAAAACCTCCTCCGTTCCGCGCCGCGATTCTGGAGTCAGGGCAGATTTCGTATAATCCGCAGCCGAGACCGAGTACGTTTGAGAGTTGGTATAGAGTTGCTGAGGTTTTGAAGTGTGAGGGAAGGTATGAGAGTAATTTGACGTGTTTGAGAGAGGCGGATGCTAGGATGATCACGGATGTTATTGAGAAGGAAAGTCTGACTTTTAATCCGGTTTGGGATGATTTTACTTTTTTTGTGAATGCTGCGGAGAGGAGGGCGAAGGGGCAGATTCCGAGGATTCCGGTGCTTGGAGGGTCGAATTCGCAAGAGGGACGGTATGAGATGTGGACGATGCATATCCGATGTGCTACGCTGATGTTGATGAATAGAATTTTCGAGATCGGGGTGAATAGTTCGGCGGCTTTCGTCGCAGAGATTACCGCCAACTATACACCTCTCGTCGAAACGATCACAGCCGCATATCCTCTGAACGCGACCGACTCCGGGCCAACGGGATATGAGCAAGTTTCTCAAATCTTCACCGAGTATGTTTTCCAGTGCACGCAAGCGCTTTGGGCAAATGCCTCTGCTGCGGCAGGAATTCCTACTTGGCGCTACTACTTCAATGCCTCCTTCTCCAACACCCAACCTGCACCAAATCTCGGAGCGTTTCATAGCAGCGAGATTCCCATCGTGTTCGGAACGTTCAATCAGACCAATAGCACGACGCAGGAATATGCTCTTTCGAGAACGATGATGGGAATCTGGGCTCGATTCGCCCGCAATCCTGAAGCAGGTCCCGGTTGGAATGCCGTTGGCACGGGTTCTTCGGCTGCTGTGCTTGTTGGAGGATCCAGCACTTCTGAGGGAGGTCTCTATTACGGAGAGAATGGGACGCGCTCGGAAGGCAACTTCGATCTTGCTGTTCTGGGCAATCGAGGAAATGTCCTCGGATCTGGAGTGACTGTGATCGACTCGCAAGAGGTCGATTATCGTTGCGGCCTGTTCCATCTGACTTATCAAGCGATCGTGAACATGGACCAGCAGAGCGCAGCTGAGGAAGCCGAGGCCGCTCAATCGGGCTAAGCAGCGTGGATGCTTTCATTTCGTTTATGACTGACGACGTACAAGACTCATCATGGTTGTCAAAAGCTGGTGGTATTTGTGTAATGTTTTAGTTGTAGCTCGCTCATCGAAGTCCAGCAAAAAGTTCTTTGAGCTCCATCGCTGATGCTTCAAACTCTTCATCAGATGAACGATCTGAGCCGAAAGCGAATTCTTCTTCGTCGATCATAACGCCTGTTGCAAAGCGGTGGAGAGGTAACTCCAGACCAGCGGCAAGAAATGAATCCTTGAAAGTTTGGACTTCGTCGAGGCGTCTTGCCCTTCTCCCACGCTGCACTATTCTGAGGCTGTAGAAGGTCAGCTACGATTTCGGACAAGATCATGACAGACGTGCTTACTCAAGGTACTTCCATGTCGCGTCGATAATATCGTCAACAACCTGATAGTCATGTGCTCGAATCTCGTCGAACAGGTCGCAAAGCATGCACACTGGAGCTTGGTCAGGATCCGGCTTCCAATACCCTTTCACGGCTTCTTGAAGGCTGTCCAAGCACTCTTCCGCGTCCTCAACATCCAAGTCCCCCACGAGTTCTCCGAGTAGATAGACGATGGAGAAAAGCCGTGCAATCAGCTCTATTCGGTCCTCCAGTGCGAAGGGGAATGCAAGGCATGCTAGACCTGTCAAATCTTGCTGCAAAAACCTCTGCTTCTGTTCTTCGCTGTCAAACTCCCAATGCGATAGTATCAAGTTGTTGACTTGGGGCGTGATCGTCCATCGAAGGGGGTGTTCATTCTGGTCCTCGGCCATATCTAGCTCGTCTTCTCCCACTTCAGAGATCTTCGTCTGCTGTTCCAGTAATTTCTCGTTTACGAGGTCTAAGTCCAAATTTTCCGTTGTCATTGCCATCTTTTTATCCTAGCCACTAGGCCTGAGTGGTGTGATTCGTAATCCTAGACTTTCGAAGTGGCAGTATTCTGCAAATTTTGGGCACAGGAATGTAGCGGCAGCGGGAACAAACAACCACGACCATGACCAGCAGCTGGAGGACATGTATGTAGATCGCCCAGCATGACGACCTGCCGGTGCGGCATGTCCGGAGTCTAGAAGCGACATTGCATTCTCACCGGAGCCGTGTCTTCCCGCGCGCGATAGGCCATGCAAACACCGCGTGGTAAGCAGGGTAGTGCTATAAAATAAGGAGTCTACACCCTCTTTCAAAATTCCGGCAGTATTGTCATTATACCCTGAGGAAGTACCGCCGAGCCCTGCGAATGCTGTTTTATCCAATGGGGGAAGCGGATTATGCCTGTATGAAGTTCAAACCTACCAATCGGGCGGCGGACGCTACTACTCGGTTCTTGACAGAAGTGAGACAAGTGCGCTTGACCACGCTAAACGCGGAGTTGACCATCGATGTAGGGATCCGTAGACGCTAAAGCGGGTGCGTCCCGTACGCGAAAGTTTCATTACGCTAGGATCTTCTATTACGCTAAGCGTTACGCGATATCTATACGCGCATCTTTGCGCGTATACTCTCTTCCTTTCTTTCTACAATATACTACTAGTACGTATCTACCCCTAGCCCCTACCCCTATTCCTTTGTATATACCTATATACATGCGCGACGAGCTAACAAGGCGACTTCGATGTCGCAGCTAACCGAGTTCCCTATACTACTATACCTAAGCCTATAGCTCTACATATACCTCCTAATATGCCGTAAGACATTAAGACCGTTACCTGGAATAACACCCTACTAGAGCAATCTATAAGTACAGAGACTAGGCTATACATCTGCCTATGCTTATGCCTATATAGAGCTCCTACCGCAAATATAAGAAGCGCCTCTTATAGGGCGAGTTATTCAATATGCCTGAGATAGAAATCGTAGTATGTAATCTCTCTTCTACCTATACAATAGGCCAAACTAATGCCTATAGATCTGCCTAAAGACTAACTAGGAGGCCGTACGCACCTATATAGGTGAGGTAACTTGTCGTATACCGGCAGGATCTAAGAACTTCGGTCGCTTCCTAGCTGCCTAGAAGAATAGCGATAGGTATATACAGTATTATACCTATATTACTAGTCATTGCTAACACTATAAAAGAAAAGACGAAGACGAAGAGACGCTAAAGGAGTTGTACGAAGAGAAGGGCTTCTATAGTATATAACTCTATCTTTGCCTATACGTATGCCTAAAGCTAATACCTTGTAGACTATCTGCCGCGACACTTCGGCTCTCGCTACACACATTATCTATAGTGTACGTAGCTCCCTGCCTAGAGCTTTGCCTATACTAACGCATATACAGTATAAGGGAAAAGTCGAGCAACCTAGGGAGAAGGACCGTAGTAGTCGGTATACGCCTAAGACTAAGACAAAAAAGTGCATTGGTAGGTTTAGGCAGCTCTATAGGTAAAGCTTTTTACTAATATATCCCTTAGATTTCTTCGACAATGCCTAGGATCTGTACGAGGTTAAGTATAGCTATATCTTTACCCTTACCTTTGCCTATACTAATCCGTATATAGCCCCGACGCCCTAGGTACACCGAGCAAGGGCAAAGCTAAGGGCAAAGTACCGGCTAAATCTGCCGAGACAATCGAAGACTCAGAGACTAAGTCTAAGTCTGAGTCTAAGAGTAATAGCGAGATGTATGTGCCGATCTATGCCTATGCCACTAGTTATATACTGACTCAAATAGGCCCTTCGTCGTCCGGCGCGGCAAGCACGGCAAGGTATGAATGGTTACGTACATACCTTTGCCTATACTAACGCCTATACAGATTGATCTAACTAAGGCCAACCGCGAGTTCCGTACCGAGTTCCCCGAGGCTATAGTGCCTTGCCTAGGTTGCTAGGCTAAGAAGGCTAAGAAGAGTAAGTCTAGAGCTTTAGCCATGTCAATGCCTATATTAACGCCTATAACAGACTGCAACCTTAGTGCCGATACCTGCAACCACACTAAGAACTATAACGTCGTCATCGTTACAGGATGAGGGCAAGGATATAGGCATAGGCACGGGCATAGGATAAACATAGGATGATTATTGCCTATATAGGTACGTATATAAGCATAGAACTAGCTACAGGTTGAAAGCCCCGGCTATAGTTAGACTTGAAATCTAACTACAGCCAAATCTTCTCCGTACTCGTAACTTCCTATATGCGCCGTGCTATAGCCATAGGTCGCCCTTTACAATATCGTAACTGCTTTCGAGGCTTCTAGAGTCTAACAAAGGTAGCTTAACTAAAAAACAAGGGGGATAACGAAAGGCTAGCGGTTATATCCTAAGAATAATATAAGCTATACTAGTACTAATAAGTACTAACAGCTAGAAACTAACAATAATTATATATATACTAGGATTTATAGGTAGTAGAAGCTACAGTTTAGACGAATTAGTATAGAAAGTTTGAAATAATAGGGGCTATATTAGTAAAGTTACCTGGATCAAAATAATTAAAACTAGTATATAGCGGGTAGGTCCTTTTTAGTATAGATACCTAGAATTTTATAACTGCTAGTTTTAGTCTAAAAGACATAGAGATACCGATCGATATTATACTATAGCGTTACTAGTAGGCTGGTTTTTTATATAGGACAGATGCTACTACTAGTACTATACCTATTCTCTAGTCTTTAGCTATAGCAGTAGGGCGTTATTATCCCCTACTGTTAATAGAATAAAGGTATAGTCTTTAAAAAGTAGGTTTAGGTATTCTTTTTAAGTTAGCTATATACTAGCGCTAGTACGTATCTTATAACGCCCTAAGGCCTATATACTATTCTATCGAATACGTTATATATATTGAATTATATAAACGTATAGAAGTAGTAGTACTCTAGTTTAATACTACCCTATTTTGATTTTTATATATATATATATATACTACCGTATAGGCCTATATACCGACTAACTAATATTAAACTATATCTTAATCTCTAGCGTAGCCTAGTATCGGGTCTCGTATTACTCGGGAGATAATACGCTACTTACCCGCTTTCCGGCTAATAGTGCTATTCTATCGGGTATAGTCTACGGTCCTACGGATCTACTAGTAACCCGCTTTTTTAGTTTAGTATACTAAGGTCGGCGAGGTATGTTTCTAACTAGTATCGAATTGCTCTAATACTATGCTATACTTTTAACGTAGCAAGCTAGATATATAGCTAATCGTATAGATATAGGTGCTTTAGCTAGGTATTACCTACCCGCTCGCCTATACTAAATAGGACAGTATAGGCTATAACCTAGAGATAATCGGCTTTCTATACTAGTAGGCCGGGAAGGGTAATAGTACTTATATCTACTACTTTAAAGTCGGTAGCAATCGCACTACTACTAGTGCCTATTTCGATTTTATAGGTTAGTTTAATAATAAGGATTTGCTACTCGATCGTATATATCTAGAAGACTAGTTTGTATACCTGCTATACGATCTAATTCTAGCTAATACTAAGGTCGCCGACTATATTATATTTCCGAATTGTAGTATATTAGACTAGGACGCTAGTAAGGCTCGTGCTATTACTATAGTCCGCGGCGTAGACGAGTAGTATATCGATAGTATCTAGAGAAGTATGTTTTACTATAACTAAAATATTTAGCTACCGCTAACTAGGCAACCCTAAGTAGTACTATAAACGTTTACTATAGTCGGCCTAAGATAGTATTATATACTATCGTAGGTTAGCGTACTAGCATTGCTATACCCTATAGTAGGTCGGGTTAGTTTGGTTTAGTTTACTAAGCCGAAATTCTAGGTTAGTTTAAGTTAGTTTGCTAAGCAACTATACGAGTAGCAGGTTAGAACTATAGAATTAGTCGGTTTCTAACAAGTATAGGAATATATACGTAACTTAAAGCAAGCCCTTTTTAAGACTAGTACTAATAGAATTTTCGAAGACTTTTATTTCGGACGTCTGATAAAGCATAATATACTATATATATACTTAGAGAGTATTTATAGCGCGCTATATAGCGCCGTATAATAGCGGCATATTTTGTATATAGAAACGCTTATAGAGGATACTAAGAATATCTATCCTACTAGAATATCTATCCTACCTACTACTATCTCGAATTTAGATATTCTAACTCTTAAGAATCTAATCTAGGGCTTTAAAATCCTTACCTATAGTCGTAACGCGATTTACGTAGATAGCTATAAGGACAATAGCTAAAATAGTATTAGTATAGTTCTAAAAGAGGTAGTGGAATTTAGTAGGAAATTCTACCTAGATATCTTCCGCAGTTACTACTTTAATAGTAATAATACTACTATATATAGTCTAACTATCTAGTATAAAGACCCGGCTAGAGGTACTAGCTATAGTAATCTTATAAGTAACCTGACTCTATTACTAGGAAATGTGATAAATATCTGTGCTACGGTAGGCTATACTAAATAAGTTAGCTATTTAGTAGGAATGGGCCTACTACAGTCTCTATATACCGGCTCCGAGTGCCGACTATGCCTCTAGATTTAACTCCCCCCTATCTCGAAGGCTAAGATACCGAGTAGAACCCCTATACCTTATATCTACTCGGTTATCGCGGAGCGCTTATAAGTAAGATATTAAAAAAGTATATGAAATATACGAGAAGAGCATCCTAGGATATAGGTCGTTAGTAAATAATAGTAGTACGCCTAGTTATTTATATAGTACGTTACTCTAAACGACTATGAGCCTATATTATCTCGTACTTCGCTTATAAGACTATATTATATACGACCGGGTAAGTATAGGAGGGAGGTAGAGGTAGGAACTTTAGGACGAGGTTTCTATATATCTTAAAATCTCTTATACGGGCTATACGTTCCTCT